GTGTGGACAGGTAGTAGTAGGGGGATCCCTACTACTGGATCAATGACTTCTGAAGAGTGAAGTGCAGAGAGAACATCTCTGGGTGCAATAAATGATGGCTGCCTAAGACAACTAGTCCTAGAGCCCACAGGAGAAGATTCGTACAGAATTTGGCCTGGACTGGTGAATTACTTGCAAGTAAAAGAGCTTTTTTTTACATGGGCTGTTCTCTAACAAGAACAAACGTACAACCAATTTTAACTAAGGAGCAGGGAAGGTAGACCCCCCAAAAAAGCCACATTCAGGTATTCTTGTACTCCTGCTCAAGAAAGGGGGAAAAGGGCTATGGATCAGGTAAATGCCAAACTCCTCTCCACCTCTCAGTGCAATTTGAGAAGTAGGGGGATCCCAATGAAACCACCAGGAGATCAATTTGAAACAGATAAAGAGAATATACTACTTTGCACAGAGGCTATCAGTCTTCTGGAACCTGCTATCCCAGGAGGCTGTGAAGGCAGGGAGCAGCAGCTCATGCAAAAAGGGACTAGGCAATTTCACAGGTAACAGGTCTATAAACAGATACAGAAAGGATTGGCAAGCATGTATTTATTCCTTTGCAATTTTAACAGTTATGGGTCCTGGGGAATCAAAGGGTAATGGATTGCAGATAACAAGCACGGTCACATGCTCTGCCTAAATAGCTTCCCCTTCTGCTACTGTCAGAAAGAGTACTAGGGCAGATGCAGCACTGATCTAACCTGACAGGTCTTGTTAGTTTGTGGACTAAAATCCTAACATTTTGTTGACAGAAAAGTAGGTGTCTATGTTAAAAAGTTATAATATACATCACAAAAATCAGAGCAAGGGCTTTCTTTACTATTGTACAGTTGCAGTTTTTAAATGCTTCCTCAGTTCAAGAGGGAGGAATGATAACTACACACATGATTTCTTCTGGACTGCTCTAGTATTTCAGGCTATGCACTTCCTGAAGTCAATTACTGGATCTAGGATTAGGAGGTTAGTTCAGTGTCTCTTATCTATAATGTACTTATTAATTTTCAGCTGTGATGCTGACATAGGAAATACTAGAAATTCCGCTTTACTGAGACACAGAAATTATTTATTATGGAGAACAGCTGCCAAAACAGTAATAGGATCTGGACTCCTGATAGAATTAGAGTGGTTGTTGTTGGAAGAAACCTCTGGAGCTCATCTGGTCCAATCCCCCTGCTCAAGCAGGGACACCTACAGCTGGCTGCCCATGACCATGTGCAGATGGCTTTTGAATATCTCAAAGGATGGAGAGACTCCACCAGCTCTCTGGGCAACCTGTGCCAGTCCTTGGTCTCCCTCACAGTGAAAAAGCGCTTCCCTATGTGCAGAGGGAACCTCCAGTTTGTGCCTGTTGTCCTGTCACTGGGCACCACTGAAAGTTCTTTGCACTCCCCCCATCAGATATTTATACAAATTCATCATCTCCCCCTCTGAGCCTCCTCTTCTCCAGGCTTAAGTCCCAGCTCTCTCAGTCTTTCCTCATAGGATTGATGCTCCAACCCCTCCAACATCTCAGCGGCCCTTTGTTGGACTCTCTGCAGTAATGTTCATAACAATCTTACGGAGCAGTCCATCACTGAACACCACAGTATTTGAGGTGTGATCTCACCAGTGCTGAGTAGAGAGAAAGGATCACCTCCCTCAACCTGATGGCAACACTCATCCTAATACAGTTCAGGACACTGCTGGTCCTCTTTGTGGCAATGGTGTACTACTGGCTCATGTTCAACTTGGTGTTCACAAAAACCCCAAAGCCTTCTCTGCAGAGGCCCTTTCTAGCCAGGCTGTCCCAGCATGTCTTGGTGCCTGAGGTTGTTCCTCCTCAGGTGCAAGACTTTGCACTTTCCCATATCAAACTGCTTGAAGTTCTTGTTGGCCCATTTCTCTACCCTGACACTGTCCCTCTGGATTGCAGCATAACCCTCTGGTGTACTAGACACTGGAAACCAGTTTTGTGTTATCTTTAAGCTTGCTGAGGCTATGCTCTGCTGCATCATCTAGATCATTAATGAAGATTATTGAAGCAATACTGTAAGTGGCACTGCTGCAGTGATAAGCATCAACTAGCAAACTGAAAAATATTCACTCTGGCTGCACTAATGTTATATGGGTTTTGAATCAGAACTAGCTCATGACTAATTAGAAGAGCAAATTCGCATCCACCTGCAAACTGTTTGTATTTCAACTGACTAAATTTTCCTCTTCATCTCTTTCCTTTTCTTAGCAGAAACAAGTGTGCAGAAAGTTGTTTGCTAATTTAAACAATATGTCACTGCTAAACACTCAGAAGCCAGTGTCAAAAATGCAGCAAAAGAAGTTTTGCATATATACTACAGCCCATGTTATGTACAGTACACAGGGTCCTCGATGGAAAATTCTGCCCTGTTTCTTCATACAATAGAGAAAACAAAATTAATACTCCACCATGTGGAGACCTCTCAGATATGCAGCTGATCACTGACCATGCCCTGTCACACGTGGCTCGCAGGGGGTTGTGACATTGGAGCACACCAACCAAATGCATTCAGCTACAAAAGATGCACCTGAACTGTGTACGCTGTTCAAAGGATGGTTATCCTGCTGTACTGCATCTTGTTTTGCTGCACTCCGATCCGGACAGTGAGATATAGGTTATGAAAATGTTTAGGGAGTCTTATTCAACCGTGTGTATTAATAATCACACACTCAGTTAATAGCAGAGAAATTTATGAACATGGTGTTCCTCTAAAGATTAGTTTCTGCACTCTGCTAAAAGCAAAGCACAGATCTCATCAGCAGAGGACTCTGCATCTTGAAAACAGGAGGATGGCAACAAGGCTACAGCATACCCCACCAATTCCTTTTCCTGCTAGCCCACAAACAAAACAGCCCATAATGCTAAGAAACTCAGGCCAAAGATGCACAAGGCAGTCGAATTGGTTAAAATTGCTGTGTTGCACACCAGTGATGCTGAACAGCCCATGTGCACATGTCCTTATTCTTCTCAATAGGTGGGGGAGAAGGTGTGAGCGGGTCAAATCAATCCAGTCAGAAGTAATGCAAAGTAGAATCACCTTACGCTTATGTAAGATCTTGCCCTGAGGTTTGTAACATGGATTATTTTAATACAAATAATGAACCTTTTGAGAGACGCCACTGACAGGTAACTGGAGTATTTCCTAAGCTGACATGAGTCACCACTGCCCTTCATGTCTCACAACAGTACTTGGTCAAGACCAGTAACATCCTCAGTAAGCACACATCTTAACTCTGCTCTTCTGGCACTTGATTTGACAACCAAACTCTTGGTTTCATCTCACCCTGGCAGAGCGCTCCTCCACTGAGCTGTACAGAAAAAGTTTAATCTGTTTTTAACAATGAGAAATCAGGTGATGTTGTAAGATTTCAGTTACTTCAAGGAATGTATCTGTGGTCTTACTGACAAGCAGAATTAGCACTCATAGGCTGTAAATTCATAGAGACTAAATCAGTGGCTGAGAGAAATAACTCAGTAACAGGAACAAGGATTGCTAAAACAGTTTTAAATAATCTTCGACGATAGATGATGCTCCCCCTACTGGTGTATTCCTCCGTTGTACGAGTATGGCTTCTGTGAAGCACCAAACTGGTCAGATAGTAAAGGTACAAAATGTTTGCAAATCAATAACAATTAGGAGCTACACTTTGATGGCACCTGAAGGTAAATCCACACAAAAAACCTCTGAAGTCCACAGCAATGACTCCAGAGTTACATTAGACAATGTAAATCTGAGTTCTTGATAATATGCAGTAAGCTTGCTTTCCTTTAGAGATGTAGAAAATAGCTATAAGAAAACCCACACACTACTTAAGCATCACATGATGACCTTCACTCATACACCAACCACAGAACATCTCCTAAAGCAACCTGGTGCAGTACACCAGCTTTCTGCACACTGACTTGTTATACTGTAACTCCCTGAAGAACTTCAGGGTAAGGCTTTAAAAGTTTATTGCTTCTGTGTTTAAAAGCAATTGCTTCTGTTGTGTGATATAAAATCCAGGTTGGGGTGTCCCTGCTGCAGCTGTGCCCTCAGGCAGCCTGAGAAACTGTTTAAAATGGGTTGAAGTGGTCCAGAGCACACTACTACTTCCTCGTTGATAAAAGCCTTCATCATCATACAAGTCATCTGATACACTGACTCATTTTATCCCTTTGTCTAAATTTTTTACTTTTCTTTTTGTAAGATGATCAGCTTTCAGTGCAAAAGTGTTTCAGACCAGAAGTCATCTTAAGCTACTTCTAAATCCCACATGCCAGACATGTAAAAAAACCTCACACAACTACTTGACCATAACAATAACATCACTGAAATAGGAAAACTTACACATACTTCTAGACAAAAGCTTTTTTAAATTCAAGTACTGTAAATATTCTTGAAAAATTCTGAACGTACAGCAACTGACACAAGAGAAACACAAACAGCAAGAAAAAGCCATTTTTGAAGGTGCCCACACAAAGCAACGATATCTACTCAAAACTTAACTAGTATGTGCCAAGATTCATCAAGAAGCCACACAATATAGTATTTCCAATCACATATTTAGTTACTACATATGTGAAGTTTATATCTTGTCATTAGACAACACTAATTGGATGAACTTTTCTAGATCATCCATATTATAACCTTGTAGTTACAGAATTAATGAGAAAAGATGCAGTAGGTCCCAAATCATTCCTGGCATCTGTAATCAAATACTTTGAATTCCACTCTAACAGGAACAGATCTATGAATATTATTACCTGCACTGCTAATGTGCTGAGTGAAGAGCCAGTAACCACACTATCTTGCTGAAACTTGAGTTTTTCCAGTGACCTGAAAGCAGTGAACCAGTAGACTGCATGATGTACAGCAACATAAGTCCTGATCAAGTGACAGGTGGTAGATTAACTGCAATGTGTTAAAAATATTAGTTGACTACATAAATCATTATTCAAAGCTTTTTTGAAGACTAATCCTCCCCATCCCACATGCAAACAAAACAATTAGACCACATTCATATATTAATTTTTATTTTCCCATACAATATTCACAGGGTCTGCTTTTTGTCTTACTCAAACAAATTCTACTTTTTCCTCTCAAACTAAAACAAGAACTGACATTTTGGGACATGAGAGGAAGTTCTGTAAACATAAAACATCCAAGGAAAAGCTGAAACCCAGAGCCTCTAGCAATTAAAAACATAGTTATATCCCCTTTAACGCAGAGCGTTTATTTGTGCATCACATCATTAACCAAACTACTCTTTTCATGTAATAAAAAGATGCAGCTTTAACCAAAAGTCACAATGCATTTCTTCACCCACTGCATGTTAGCATGTTTAATTATATCCTAGTCAGTCACTTTTTTTTAAAAACTATATACAGCTATGTTTAAACATGTATAGTTGTGCCATGTTTTTAATAACACAAAAATAAAGGCATTCTTAAGCTATTGCTGCATATTATGCAGCAAAAAAATGGTTCAGATATCTAACTTAAATGCAAAATTCAGGTTCACTCAACCTCTGCAGTGGGAGTAATATTGAGCTAACAGTCGTCTCACTTCACACATTCAAACATTATGAAAGAACAGAAAAACATACGCAATGGCCAACCATTATTTGTTTTACCCCATTGTTTATGAATTTTGACAGCACAAAGAAAAACTCAGTGGGGAAAAAACCCAACATATTTCAATCTTTAAAACTAATGCTTTTGTTGTGATTAAAGCTACACAAGTGATATTCAAACTCCAGAAGATAATAGTGGACACTATCAAAATTAAATCATGTTTTCATGTGACACTTGCACCCAAAGTGTACCACTTGCTTCATTATTGTGTGCAACGCAGCACAAAGTACTGAGTAGTACTTGCCAAAACAAAAGAATAAAGCATATAGGTACAATCAAGAACTATGTGTGCAGGCAGAAGAAGAAAGCAGTAGTTCTTTTGTTTTCTGATCTTTGTGAGTCTATTTCTGGGAAGCTTGCATCCCCAAACGGGACTGCAGTATTTAAAATTCAGTACAGGATAGAAAAATGTTATATATAATCCTGAATTTTACACACATTAAGCTTTAATACCCCCATGATCTTTTAAACAATTCTTGAGCTGTATGAGGTTTTTCTTCAATTTTCAAGAGGGCGGTCATTCAGTTCACAACACACTATGTGCTCTTTCACTTTTTTTTTGCCATCACAGGATTTTAAAATTAAGTAATCTTAGATCAATTCTTCAGACTGCTCAAGTCTCACCTTTTTGCTAAATTTTTGATAAAAATAATACAATTAGTAAGGGTTCAGCATTCTTTCTCTGCTTGCTGAGAACTTAAGAAGCATCTTTTGATTTAGCCAGTAATAAACGATGATTTTTTTTCAGCTTAGTTTAGTTTGTGTGCATTTAAGAACTGGTCAGTCTACTCTACTCCTCCAGAGCCATTTGAAGGAGTGTTTGCCTCATGACCAGCTCAATTCAAGCTACTTGTATGCACATACACTAACTACCTTCCACATACAAATAAAACAAGACTTTACAGTACATAAGCTATTAAAGACTCGATCAGTGGAAACAATGTAACTATAACTCTACAAAAAAGATAACCTAAAATAATAAAACATTTCCTGACCACTAGCAAAAAAGAGTGGCAATTAGATGCACAAGGCCATCATGTATCAGTGCACCACACACAGGAAAGTAAAACTTACAGCACTTGTGCAATGCAGTATCAATATCAAATTGGTGTCTTAACAGGAAAACAATTTAGTAAAAAGCTTTGTTATGTGCCTAACATAATATAACCTTTTCCAGTGCTGGTGCTGGGCTGCTTAACAAACGAAGCTACTTCTGGTCTTAAATCCAAAAAGCAGCAGCAGCAGCATATACAAGTACAGAAATGGTACAGTTTCAGTGACAAAGTTACAAGGTTTCCTCTTTTATTGCATCTTCTTTAAATGAACTTGGAGATTTGGATTTCTGAATACAGAAAGTGGATTTCCTGAGTAGTCTCAGCTTACAATTTGTTCAGTTAAACTTTGTAAAAGAGGAAAGGCATTTATTTTAATATAGATAATGTTTAAGCAAACATACTCATGTATAAAAATTTAGCAAGTTTTGGAGATGGAGACTTATCAGGCTGATGGAGAATGTGCACCATGATACAGTGTCAAGCTTGCAACAATTTACAAATAAGAAAAGGGTATCACTGGATTTTTTTTCTAACAGCAAATCAAAACAGTGCACTACAGGGTTATTTTAAAGTGTTATGCTGCAGATGGCTAATCTTACTAGTAAAAATCAAACTCAGTTTGGATTATAATCATTAGAAATAAAGAGAGGCTGGTCACTGCCAGATATTTAATACAGGAATCAGAAAACACTTAAGTTCCAAAATATTTTCAAAGTATTTCAAATCATGTGTCCCTTTCATAACTTTCTGGATTTGTTTTGTGATTTTTAAGGGATGAGGGGGAGACACATTTGAATGTTGCATATATTCAGATCATTCAGGTACCTACAATTACTTGGAGAACAGTTAATTTTTACAGATGAGTAGCACACAATGACCTGAAGCATTACCACTACCAGTTATGATCCAACACGGGTTGTTGTGGTTCTTTTATCAGAGAAGAAGCTTTTGAGAAGAAATACCTGCCCAATACTAACAACAAGAAGGATGATTGCTTCCCCTATTGACCAGTAGGCCACTCTCGTGTTTAAATCCTCTGCTCTGCTGCGGCCCTGCGCTTCTCTCAAGCGGAAGTGAGTCTGATAATCGATGACAGACTTCAAAGCTTCATGAATTGAAACACACGCAGACTCCATCTAGAGAAGTAAACAAATACATACCACAATTAATAACCCTTCTGGTGCTTTTTCCGCAAAGTTTTGTGGTTTCATATTTAAATTAGGATTTAACCCCTGCAAGCAAAGGGTTACCTCAGTGCATTGTCAAGACTGAAATACTGTAAATGCAGTAAAATTTAATTTAATCAAACTCTACATACAGGATGGTGACAGACTCTTAAATACAGAAGAATGTAAAACTGCAGATCGAATAAAAAGCACCAGGCTCTGAGAATAACAAATCTTAAATTCATATACATCTAGGTTCAAAATGAACATTAGAAATTCTTTTGAAATGTCAGTGATGCCCTAGTAGTAAATTCCACATATCAGGAAAATAAGCAGTTGCTTATTACATGAAGATGCACATAGTATATACTAAATGCTTCTGTGTTTCAACTTATGACATGCTTCATTGCATAATTCTCATTGAAGTTGTACAGCATCCTAAAATCTACGTTACTGAACTCAACACGTTCTCTGGCAAGAGACCCTTCTCTTAGTCTGGTACACAAAAAGTGGTTAGAGAAATGACAATTCTGTTATCTTTCAGTGTTCCCAAATGCTCCAGAATATAAACTTATAACAAATTGTCCAACTTCACTGTCATTTTTCATTTAAAAAAGTATTACCAACTTTTCAAGCCCTACATAAACTGGAAGAAGCTTACATGAAAAATTATCTGCTCTAAGTAAAAGTCAGTACTCCTCACTGTGTTTTGATCACCAAGACATTATTCAACAGATCCTCAAAATACTTGATTTCTAGTCACAATTTGTTTTCCTGTTTCATGGCTTACAATTAGTATTTCCTGAAGATCAAACAACACAAACTATTATTAAAGAAAATGTTTAACACCCTGATAGGACCACTCTCAATTACCTCTAGCTGTGTCTAACCATCTTTACACATTGATGACTTTCAAGACAGGTATCTGAAAAGTCTAAGATATTCTTCTCAACAGAATTCAGGAAGAGGTTTTCCAAACTAAGTTCTGCCAATGGTCCCACTGATAAATTATAGAGCTCTCCTAGTCTGCACAAGAGATTTAAACACAAAGTCATTCTGGTTTCATGGTTTCACTTTTGACTGTCCCTATGAAAGGCTGCTCCAATTTGGTCATTACAAGCCTCAAGAAAACTGCAACAAGAATCTTCTTAGCAAAGACATACTGTACTCTGAAGATTAACCTTCCCATTTCCCAAATAACTTCTTTGCATTGTGTATGCTACATTCCAGTGATAAAATATTTTTTTATATATCTTCTACAGGCTGCAAGGGACTCCAGAGATGCAAGACCCAGGAAGTGCATGTTCTGTGTTCTCAAAATCCCTCTGCTGATGCCAAGATAGGAAAAGAAAAGCCAGACATAACAGAACACACAGATTGAACAGAATCAAGACTGAAGTAAGGAAAAGAGATGGAAAGATAGAGGATCAAGAATCAGAATAAAAAATAAAATGGAGCAGAAGAGTGAGAAGAAGAAAGAGCTAAGAGCTGTAGTTGAATTCACAGCAAGTGGTGCACTCATTACACATCTCGGCTACTCCAGACTTATGGGAGCTAAATTCAAGTAAGACTGGCATTTGGGAAGCAGTACTTACACTGTTGAGTTCTGACTAGCAAAATAGCACCCATGTCTAGCATTCTTTTTTTTTTTTTTCTTTTTTGTTTAAAGTGAGGTCTGTCAATGGTTATAATCTAAGGACATTAGTGGGAATTCATGAAGCAAGTATTCCAAGGGAAGCTGTGATGGATTTACATTGGGTAGAGATGGTATAAAACCGTAAACTCTTGAGAATATTATAATAATACTAATACTCCAACACTTAGTAGTCTCTTATGAAGGATAAATGTCTTTTTTTCCATTTTAAAAATGGCAGTTATGTGAGAGGTCAGCTTAAAGACTCTAGCATTTTAAATATAAAACCAGTTTAAAATATATTAAAAAAATTAAATATAAAAACAATTCTCGAAGTTTCTCCAAAGTTTGAAAATTTTTAAAACCCTAATCCACTGATATTTAGTTTGTGAAATTCACACAACTATGGCATTAAAAGGAAGCTCCCTTAAAAAAAAAATAATAATGGCCTAGAGTTCAAGTTACTCTCCTAATTTTTTCTTTAGCATTTGGAGATTCCTCCTCAGCTCTGTCCTGTGTTTTTTAAATCCTATCTCAAGAAAACTTATTTGTATTAATTCAGATTATTTTAAAAGCTCCAATGCACTGATTTTCAAAAGTGATACAGATATCTAATGCAGCTGAACTTGAGAAAACACCTCCTCCACCTGACATCTACTGTCAAACACAACAGCACTTTACCTGAGTAAGTGCAGTTACTCTGTTCTCACTAGGAAACAGTGGTGGATCTTCTCCAACCTGGAAATCAAAGTACACAGTTTTGTGTGTGAAAGTAGAGAATTCGTTGCTGAAGCAGAATTTGTATGTCCCATTTCTGGATGCAGTAAACGTGAAGCTATCATATTGTTTCTTCATCTCTTTATACAATACAATGCCATCAGGATCTTCCAACCGACAGTCAACATCATAATGACCTCCAGTGATCACCTGAAAACAAAAATCAAGAAAGTGTCTTTTTAACAAAACAGACATTTATACATTTCTTCTAAGAAGCATGATTTGTCAAGTGGCACTGCAAAATTTTTGCTTTAACAAATCTTTTTAAAATATAATGCATTAATTTGAAAATCTTTCAAAGCCAGCCTGCAAAATTATTTTCTTATGGAAGACACACAGAACATTATTCAAAATACTTTAGTTTCAGAATATGTAATGTCAACTATATTTTCAAACCATTTAGGGGCAATTTTTGTTACTTTGTTATGAATAATTGTACAACAGCAAAGGCTACAGCAGATGAAACCTGATGGGGCAGCAAAGGCATTACTGTAAGAAATCAACCACTTGTTGTATCCACAACTCCATGGAATTGATTTAGTGGACTAAGATGCTAAAATGCAGTAAGACTACTCCTTTCTGTAGGACCAAAGGATCGTTTAGCACAGGATTATTTAGCAAAGGATTATTTAGCACAAACTGCTTTAGGCTGCAGGAATGGCATTCGACTAGTAGAACAGGTATTTCAACGAGGCTTGTCTTCAGGTCTGCTAGTGAACAGACCAATGTTCTGGGGGGACCTGCTGCCTCCCTCCTGCACAGTTAACCACAGCATTTCTTCTCAGAACCAGCACATCTGGATAATGCCTACAAGTGACTTAAAACTTCTCATGATTGTCTCAAGGGGTTTTTTTTCAGGCTTTGATTATTGTTGATTTACAACATAGTGCTCTGTAGAAGAGCTATCCCACCTCCACACGAAGACTAACTGGTAGCTTAGGTATTCATAACTTGGTGTTCTGATGACTCTTATAGTAGTTTTACCTTAATGTTTGCTCCAAACTTTTTGCTTTTAAGATAAAGCATGCTGACAAAGGAAGAGACTTCTATCTAAAGGTACGTCCCTTTTATATGCATGCAGAAGTCACTGAAATTTTTAGTATCTGAATAACTGCACTTCAGTTCACATATTATTACTTAAAACTCGTATCAGTTTACCTAGGGATTAAGTTATTACAATGATAACATTAATGGTACAACTGAAATAACATGAGATCCGAGCAGCAGCTACACTGCAAACAGGAAGTTTAAAAAAATATTCAGTTGGCAAGCAATTATCTTCAAAAAAAAAAAAAAAAAAAAAAAAAAAAAAAAAAAAAAAAAAAAGGATGTCTGGATCCCCAGATGTCTCTCCCTGGATGTCTGCAAGTAGTTGGGTTTTTCATACAAAAATGCTTACCATTACTTGGAATGAAAAACAAAATAAGATTTTCTATAAAGAAACAACGGTTCATTTTTGAAGAATGATCTCAAATTTGACAGAGGTGTGCTTTATTACATCAAAGACACTCACACTGAAAGGGCCAGTTTACATATACAAGCCAAAGATTTGCTAGAGCTTTAAAGTTCCCCTGAGATTCTTTCCAACAGGCCTTGCTTGAGCCTCCTCTCAGCACTTAAAACATACTCCCAAAGGACATGCACACAGAATTTCAGTCTACCAGTGGTTGGTCAAATCCAAACTTGCCTTTTACCAATTCTACTCCTGTTCTGATCACTGACAAAAGTGACAGAGGCAGGCTTTATCTCTCCAGTAACCTCCAGTGATACCCATTTGAAAACAGGGGGGAAAGTACTACACAGAAAAGACTTTATGAAAAAAATAGACAAGGAAAAGAAACATTTGGGTAGGGAAAAACATATCTAAGAACTAGAAGATGTAGGACAGAGTAACAAGGACCAATATTTGGCAGCAATGCTTTCCAAAATACTAAGGTGGGACAGCAGATGGGAAAAAAAATGGGACTTCAACAACTCGGACCATTAAAGCATACAGCTCCTTCAAAAGCCCCTAACTGTAACCGTGATCCCCATTTTCAAGGATGGTTTCTCTCATGCTGCTGCTGTGCTGTCAGTGACTTCACCGGCCGAAGTGACAGACTGAAAGGTTCCAACCCTGCTGACACACCCAGTGGCACCAAAACCATCAGAGCTGTTTGCTCTATACATCTCAAATCCAAACAGCACGCTCTACCACGATGGCTGCAAGTTCAAACTGTTAAAAACTGGGAAAAGTAAGAAAAACTGTGCAGCCTCACTTAGTACATGCACATTAACCATACCGTTCAATAAGATGTTTGTTGCCGCATGGTTTATTTTTTTGTAAGATTCCCATTCTGCTACATGCCCAGGATATGCTAGAGCTGCATACCTATTCCATCACTTTCTTACTGTTTGCTATGTGAACCCAACTTGAGCCATACTCTGAAATAAGATCCATTAGCTCCTTAAATTGTATCGTGCTCATCGTGCAAATGCTTCACAAACCACAAGGAAATTACTTTCATGACATCTTGTTAGGCAGGTGTGCTTTAGATATTCTCCCCTCTTCAGCTGGGACTCTGCGTGACAGCAATCACGGTAAAACAGTCAGCTTTCGAGGCCAGACTTAGATGTTTTTAGCTCTGGACTAAACTCTTACTTCCCCGCCGCTACTGCAGAGCGAATGACAGCATACACTATTTCCTTAGCTGAGCTGAAAACTCATATTGGATTCAACTGCTGCTCCTGCACCAGACGCTCCCCGTAACCGCTCAGAGCAGACACTGCCACGCAGTAAATGAGCGAAGCCGAGAGGCTCCCCGGCCAGCACAAGCCCCTCGGCCACCGCTCCCCGACGGCGGGCCGGGCTCCGGGCTGGGGCCCAGCTCTGCCAGCGCAGCGCGGCGCGC